TGTTATATTTACCCACTAAATATGGGTAATATATATTCTATATTTAGAAACCCAAAAATGGTTTGGATAAATATAAAAAATTTTTAATATTAAAAATCTCTTATATTTATCCTTACTTACCATCTATAATCATGTCCTAAGCTCCCAAACCCAAATTCTGAACTGGGTTATACAAAGCCCAATCGAAAAATTATATTTATTTTTTTCGCTTAAAGGATGCAGTTATAAAAAAAAAGATCTGTTGAAAGTTGGCAAAAGTAGAAAAAGATCGTAGAAAAGGTAAAAATAATTCATTATTTCTAACGGATTATACCTACACCACCGGAATATCCACATAAACTATCAATAATTGTAATCTCTCAAGCCACAAAATAATATATTTTATAATCATAAATTAATTAAATTTCGCTTAAGCGAACAAGTAAACGATTACAACAAACGTAAAGTTTTCAACACATTCTCATACAATTTGGCTCTACGAACGAAAAAGAGTTAAATAAAACGACGATGTTACGCGGCAGCTCCACCGGCCTCCTCCGTATCCTCCTCCTCACCACCATCGCAGTTGCTCTCGCCGTAAGTCACTTGATCTCATATTCACACTTTATCGTACAATAACAGATTCATTGTTACATTTTAATGATGATTTTTTGATAATGATATATGCTTCTTAATTTTGTATAGTCGGATAATGATGACGACAACAACAAGTGCGTGTTCACGGTTTACATAAGAACCGGTACGGTATGGAAAGCCGGTACAGACTCCATCATGAGCCTCCGTCTCTACGACAGTTACGGCCGAGACGCGGTTATATCCGATCTGGTATCATGGGGAGGTTTAATGGGTCCATTTCACGATTATTTCGAGAGGGGTAATCTCGACATTTTCACTGGTTTAGGTTCTTGTCTCTCGGGTCCGGTTTGTGCGATGAATTTGACATCTGACGGTTCGGGTGATCATCATGGTTGGTATTGTAATTACGTGGAAGTGACGATGAGTGAGAATCGTCGGAGGAAAAGTTGTTCTCAAGAGAAGTTTAAGGTGGAGCAATGGTTGGCTCGTGATGCTTCGCCGTATGAATTGTCGGCTATTAGGAATCATTGCTCGGACTTTGTCAAGAATCGGCGAGTTGTTCTTCCCACGATGTGAAACGTGAGATTTTTTTTAAAATGTATTTTTGGTGTCAATGAAACATGATGTGATGTTTTAGTGTGATTAAGATTTTGTGTTTTTCTTTATACTATAAAAAACGAAAGCAAATGGTATTTTTCATTTTAATTGCCTAATATGATATATGAGTCGTATGTATGACAATGATGCCTTCATCAAATATATATGTAGAATAAAAGTTGCACACAACCGAACTAAACGGATTAGCACACCTAACTCCAGCTACTTTTGTTTGGAACGTTAGATTATGATCTGGGTCATAAGTGGCCCAACTAAAATATTTAAAGCCCAACATCTGAAAATTCTGATTTTTTTCTTAATCATGGACAATTTTTGTTCTCTTTAAAACTAAATACAGCATCACCACAAATCTCATTTCTCTATACAAACAATTTAATCATCCAAACCCAAAAAAAAAAAATCACACAATTTAGGTGTCACTCGCCGGCCCAAAAAGAAAAATCAAACAATGAATTTTCCGGCGACGTTTTTCTCAATCCTTATTATCCCTCACGGTGGGTTTAAACCACCGGAAAAATTCTCAAGAATCTTGGCCACGGCGTTTCATCAGTTGTTGTTGAGCTTCCGATAATCCTCTGATCACATCCTCATCCTCCGGCGTCTCCTTTTTCAATACCTCGTAATCCGCCACCGCTAATTCCCATTTTCCGATCTGCATCCGTATTCATAATTACAAAAAAGTCCCAAACTTTCTTACTCGTTTCAAATCGACCCACATTAGTTTTTGTTCTTACCTTAGCGTTACAGTCGGCTCTTCTCAGGCGAGCTTTACGGTATCCCGGCCGGACAGAGATCGCCGCCGTGCAATCCTCGACGGAATTTTCGAATTGACCTAATTTTGACAGGCAAGCCGCGCGATTGCAGAGCAAAACAGAGTTTCTCGGATCGTTATCTAATCCCTCGCCGTAAGCGGCGCAAGCCTCCTGGAATCGTCCGGCTTTAAACAGCTCGTTTCCTCTAAATCGAGCTTCGGTCACCGCCTGAGCTCGCCGTAAAACCATGTTCACTTCCCGGTTGTTTCCGTCTAGTTTCCCGGCGCGTTGGATCGCCTCCACCGCCTCGTCAAATCTGATTAAAAAACCAAATATTAAACCGGAAATTTCAAATTGAAAATAAACCAACAAATAAACCGGGAATTCTAATGAAAGTTATATTATACCAACCGCTATTTCAAATTTAAGACCGATATGTAATCTATATACCAGCTTAAACCACTATTTGTGATATGCAACAATCAACATGTATTCCAAATTTGACCAGTGTATACCAAATAAAACCGGGATTTGCAAATTTTGGACCGGTACAAACTGTATATACCAAGGAATATAATAAACCAAGAACAAAGCAAAACCTACCTGCCACAGGCCAAGTGAACCTGAGCACGGACGACCAAGAAACCAGCATAACCGACCGGTCCGTAGTACCGAGTGCTGACATCGACATCGAAAACCGGACATCTAGACAAAGCATCATCAGCTTCTTCATGTCTATGAGTCTTCAACAATGCCTCTGCTTGCAATGCATATACCTGTGGAGCTGCATCAGCTCCTGAAGATATTGTGTTTCTTGTCTCTGTAATCAATCCATTCCAATCTCTTAATCTCTTTGCCTCTGTGCATTTACTGATATGTGTTTGTACCGTTTTCGCCTTTGCAATGTCTTCTTGATCAGCTTCTGGACCCGAATGCTTGAAATGATATATCGATTTCTCGACTTCTCCTAACCTATATAGAACCTAAACCTGTCAGACTTGAGTTTATAAGAAAAAGGTTGCTTTTTTTAGGTTTTTAGATTACCTGAGGTACAAGTTACCCAACCGATGATGTGCTCTATGGTAATGTGGCTCGATTCTGATTGCTTCTCTACATTCGAAAACCGCATCAAGAATTCTCCCTAGCGCGGTCAAAGCCGCGCTCTTGTTGCTACGATAAGCAGCTTTGTTGGGATCAATGGCTATCGCTGCATCATACAATGCCAACGCCTCTGCGAAATTCCCGTTCTTGTAATCTTCATTCCCCATAATCTTCAAAGTTTCAGGATCCATTCTGGTTGAGATTGCTCTACACAAAGATCCTGATTGATCTTGACTCTTTGTTGTCACCGTTGCAGCAGCAGCAACAGCCACATTGGTCCTCTTCGCGCTATAACCATTGCTATTACCGTAATTTGATGACATTACTGGTCCTTGCTGATTCAAATTACCAAGATTTCCAAATAACATGACGTTGCTAGAAGAAGCACGAACCAATCCATTGGTTCCTTTTGATTTTTGATGATCTGTGATCATACTTTCAAGCTCACCAGATAAACCAATGGCTTCTCTTGGCACTTTCCTCGGTCCTCCTCGGTATGGATCAACGCTACTACTATTGTTATGACTACTACGTTGTTGTTGTTGATGATGGTTCTCGTAGCTTCCTAATTGATGGTTATTAGGGTATTGATTCGACGAGGTTTTTGATGGAACTACGGATCTTTGGTTCTGGATCTTGTTTGGTTCCGATGGAACTACGGATCTTTGGTTCTGGATCTTGTTTGGTTCCGCGGAAACTTTCTGATCATCTCGAGGCTTCTTTAACTCGGTACCGGGAGATTTTGTGAATTGAATGTTGCTTGTTGCTGTTGCAGCCGTAGATGTGCTTTTTTGACTACCGTTATCGGTTGATGTATGTTTCTTGGACCACAAGTTACGTCTACCGAACATTACGCTCAATAAACCACAACCTGATCTTCTCTCCGCCGCAGCTGCCGTGTTCTCCTCCATCCCAAGAACCGGCCTGAGAATCTTGAGAACCCTCTCCTTGCGTAATAAAAAAAAATCAAGATTAAGAAATGGAAGAAGATCTTCTTTTAGGGGGAAAACTAGAGATTCAATGGGCATGAGAAGAGAGAGATCTCATGGTTAAGAAGAAGAACAGAGGAGAAAGATTTGATTAGGCTTTTCTCGGTCAGATGGTAAAGAGGAACGAAGATTCTTACGTTTCGTGTTTTGTATTTGTGTCATAAATTTTAAATAAAGTGTCATTATGATTTTTTTTTTTTTTTTAACAACTACGGAAATGAAAATGGAAGGGACTATTGATTAATTATTGGTGAG